GGGGGGGGGGGGGGGGGGGGGGGGGGCACACAGGTAGCTTCAGGGTCGGAGCCACAAGGCCGCCACCGGTCTGACTCACTATTGTTTATATTTCTGCATTTAGAAGCTCTTATCCGACTTTTATCCGATTTAGGATGTAGACACAACATTCCAGTTATCATCAGTCTGACAAAAAGCTCTCTAGAGGGAAAATCCCCAGTCAGAGGACACAGAGGGAAGCACAGAAAGAGAATAATACCTGGCAAAACTGATGGAATAGCCGGCCTCGGAGGATGTTCAATCAGTTGTTTAATTTTGTAAAAAAAAAAAAAAGCAGATTACAGCCACAAAATTAAAGTAATTTCAAATGGCAACTGTCTGGCTTTAAGAAACACTAAAAGACATCACGAAAAGAAAAATGTGGGAGTCAGTAACGGTTACCTTTTTAGACCAAGCAGAGGGGAAAAAAATTATGGAATCACTCAATTCTGAGGAAAAAAATAATGGAATCACCCTGGAAATTTCCATCCCCAAAACTAACACCTGCATCAAATTAGACCTGCTCGTTAGTCTGCAAAGGAGGGAATTATCAAATTCTTAAAAGAGCGTAAATCAACACGCAACGTTGCGAAAAATGTTGGTTGTTCACGGTCATCTGCGTCTAAAATCGGGACCAAAAACAAACGACGTGGGAAGGTTGTTAAAGGCAAACACACCAAGGAACACATCAAAGCTTCAAGACAGAAAACTTAAAGCAGTTTGTCTCAAAAACCGAAAATGGACAACAGCTTTTCGTGATGTCTTTTAGTGTTTTCCTAAAGCCAGGCAGTTGCCATTTGAAATGACTTTAGTTTTGTGTCATGCCTGTGTTCTGCTTTTTTTGTACAAAATTAAACAACTTATTGAACATCTTCCATAATTTTTTTCGGGGGTTGTAGTAGAGGGGTACGGAGCTCTGGGGAGGAGTTAGGATGGGAGAGGGGGGGTCTGGAGGAGTTTATGAACACAGACGGGGACCTGCTGTTATTTTAGAGTAGATCGTTCCTCCATCTTTGAAAGACCCCTGAAAACAGTTTCCCCCCCCCCCCCCGCCCCTGTACAAGCGGCTGCTCTGATGGATCGTGGGGCGCATCAACGACATCATCGAGGTGAAGAACTACGACGCCAGAGTCCACGGGAAGAACACGGTCATCGGGGTGCTGGACATCTACGGCTTTGAGATCTTCCAGAACAACAGGTGGATTATCCCAGAAAACCTGGGATACAAACGCCAACATTTACACTGATTTGCACTTTTTAAAATGACTTTTTACCGGTTGGAAGCAACAGGTTTTGACTTATTTGGTTGCGAGAAAAGCGCTTCATGGGATGTCGTTAATCGCTTTTGTTTTTATCTTTTTTGTTGTTGTTTTTTTTGTAGTTTTGAACAATTCTGCATCAACTACTGTAACGAGAAGCTGCAGCAGCTGTTCATCCAGCTGGTGCTGACGCAGGAACAGGAGGAGTATCAGAGGGAGGGCATCCCCTGGAAACACGTACGGACGGCTGCTTTTTACTTCTTATCCTTGTTTAAAAAAAGCCTGTGACTCTTTTTTGCTTACTAATTTCTGTCTATGGAAAAAAAATCTTGTCCTGTCTGGACTGTTTTTGTTGTCATTACACATTTTGGCCACTAGAGGGCGGCACGTGTAGTTTCCTGATATCTGATGGTTGGTGAAATTCTCCTGCAAACTCCTATTTAAAATGGGACTAAGGCATTAATTGTTTTTGATCACTTTCGGGTTGAATTTTTTCCATTTAAATGAACAGAAAGTATGCGTATTTTCACGTTACCAAAGTCAGCCATCATTACCAAAATGTTTCATTTGGACAGAAACTAATCGGCTTGTAAACCTTTCATGTTAAGAGGAAGTTATAAGTTAAAGTTATTAAGCTATTGTTTTTGGAATTATTATTGCAGTTGTACATTTTTTTTTAGACTTTAATTGCTGTTGAGTCATAAAACAACACTTTTCTCTACCAGCTTTTAAACCGATTTATTATTTTATTATTTTTCCCTTTTTACTGCTACCCTTAATGACCTGTGTCATTTCCTGTGTCCAGATCGATTACTTCAACAACCAGATCATCGTGGACCTGGTGGAGCAGCAGCATAAAGGCATCTTCTCGGTTCTGGATGAGGCCTGCATGAACGTGGGCAAAGTCACAGACGAAGTTTTCCTCCAGGGACTCAACGGCAAACTGGCCAAGCACGCCCACTACACCAGCCGCAAGGTAGGGGGGTGTCACTGGTTTTTGCCCTTTTTATTCCTTCTGTATTACACTGAGAGCACAGGAGACAAAATAATACATCAGTGTCTCCAGTAAAAACAACATTTTGAACTCCCTTTTGGGTTTTTTGGTTTGGTACGGTGGCCTGGAAGTGTCCACAAATACAGGAGCTGGAACGGCCCGATAATCCACAGGAAGTAGTTTATTGATGTGAGTTAGAGCACATCTGTCTGGTTTTTATGTGCTCCGTTTGCCCAAAGTGCAGCTGTGCACACCCCAGAACAGCGCGTGGCTGTTTGTGTTATCGTTTTGGTTCAGAAAAAGAGCAGCGAACATCTGTTAGAGCCCCAAAGACGAGGAGAGTTTTTCAAAGAGCGTAGCTGTACAGAGTTCATTTAGCTAGAGATAAAATATAGATTTTTTTAAATAAATATTTTTATTTTTAAACTTTTAAGAAACATTCTTACTTAATTTTTCCATTTATTTGCAATAAATTTACCAATTAAAATGAGAATTTTCCCTAAAAAAAATATTTTTTTTATCTTAAATAAGCAGATTAAATATAGATTTTTAAAAATAAATATTTTATTTTTCAAACTTTTAAGAAACATTCATACTTAATTTTTCCATTTATTTGCAATAAATTTACCAATTAAAATGAGAATTTTCCCTAAAAAGAAAACATTTTTTTATCATAAATAAGCAGAATGTTATAATATCAGCAGAAAACTGTAGCCTCTAGCCTTTTTACATTAAGAGGAGAAACGTCGTCACGATCCAAGAAGAAGAATCTTGCCTTCCCTTAAATGAATCGTCTCAGAAGCTTTTTCTCTCTGGACCTGGGGGATGTTTTTGTTAAGAGCTGAAGCCCGTCTGCTGGCGTGCAGAAACCTGAGAACGGCGGGCGCGTTTCCCCGCTCGTTAAGTGGCGCCCGGCGCCGCCGAACCCGATCCGATTGGTCCCGATAAGCGGGAAGCCGACGCCTGATTGGCTCTAATGGCCGTTCAGACGGGTCCATCTGCTGACATCAGAGGGTTGAGGGCAGACGGCCCAGATCATGATAAGCCCGCCGCCGCCGGCCTGGGAGGAGCAGCCAAGCCTCCCACATCCAAGTCGGCCATTTTGATTAGGTCATGTGACTAGCAGCTTTCTGAGGTGGAAACGAAACTTTACTGTCTATATGAAATCAGAAGACAAACGATGTCCTAACCCTAACCCTAACCCTGACCCTAAACCTGACCCTAAACCAAACCCTAAATCTAACCCTCCACCCTTCATAATTGTGAGAAATGTTTGGACTTATTGTACAAACCTATTTAACATACACTATTTTAACATAATATTATGTAT